TATGTACACTGGGGGAAAATAGGTTGCAGAACGGTCTAAATTTTCTAAAGCAGTAGCTTGATTCCTTTTTTTTTAAATGAGTTGGGTGAGAAAACTTCTCTCAGATAGCAGCTCCTCACCTTGGTCTCCTCCCACCCAAACCTCCAATTTCCTTGTCAGTTTCCCATTTAATCTCCTGAGCCCAGTGTTTCTCCAGCTGCAGAGTCAAACCCCTCAGCAGGTAAGAGATAAGATGCTACCTCAGCCCCACTAATAAATATCAGGTCAGCTCCTCAGCATGGATTTCTTTTCTGTTTCCACAATATTGTTACTGGAAAAGGTTCAGACTTAACTGACCATTCACTAGGTGCTAGAAACTGTGTTAATTGCTACACAGGTAACTTATCTCACTTATTCCTTACCACCACACTCTGAAGTTAGAAAACTTGGAAAATAAGAAAATAAGGCCATAAAAGTTAGTTTATTAATGATGAAAACAGGAATCAACCCACAATTTATAGGCCTTAATGCTAGCGCTTTGTCCACTCTGCTCCTCTCAAAGGAGGAACACAATGTGTAATAAACTATACCTGGGAGAAAGTACTGGCAAACAGACTAGCTAGTGTGGATATAGCCCTTAGGTCTGTAATAGCTTACAGCTCCCTGCGGGCAGGTATGAGAATCCCTTCCCGCACGAGCCCTCAATAAAATGGCCTTTGTTGTGGTTTGTTGCCGTGGAGTCACTTCCCAGTCAGGAGGACTGGGCTTCACAGGCTTTCAGGGCTGTGACCTTTCAGAACCAGGTCTCCAGAAGTGTCTTCTGAACCACCTCACTCAGAGGGGATTCAAACTACTCACCTTTAGACTAACACACACAGAACCACAAAAATGTCTGCTGGGAAGAATAGTAAATGAGCAAGTAAATAACTTCTTAAACCTGAGAATTAATAAGTGAATGAGCAAAGCAACTTTCAGCGAGATGGTTAATTCAGCAGGAAGAGCCTTTCCAGGGTCAGCCAGGCCTGAGATCTGCACTTCCATCAGACTAAAGCTCCATCAGAAAATGGCTGTGTGTGTCTTATTCATCACTGTTACTGGCTAAGTTAGCATGGACCAGGCACACATCAATTTCTCAACAACTTTTGTCTTTGTTTTTGATAGACTGTCTTATCAGAGGTGGCTTCTTCAAGCATAAACAGTTCGCCCAATTTGCCTTGAAAGTAACCTGCAGTGATTGCCTTTCTCAGCTTTTGCTTTCTCTTCTGGATAGCTCTCACACTATCCCTCTCTCTACTTCCTCTTCCCAGAATATACACATTTGTAATTAGAAACACCATTCTTCACCCCACACTTCACCTGAGTCTTCCCTGACTCTTTTTAACATGCCCATTAAACTGTGAAATCTGGTTTGGGTTCATGTGAATAAGAATCTTGCACTGCCACCTTGGGAAGGGACTTTAAAACCATCTCCTTTCAGAGAGGTGGAGAAGAAAGAGTAAACAAGCAATCCAGGGACATCACATATCTTTAGGCCCTCTGCCAGCCCACTGATAGACCGAGAAGCCACATGTAAGTAGGCCCAGAGCTACTTCCTAACTGCTCAGCCCAGTGCTCAGAATGGCCCACAATGCTGATATTTCATATTAGCTTTCATAATTTCACACTCACTTCAGCCCCACCAGAGCAAGGATAGTAACACTCTATTAAACCTAGCATACATCATATCCCTAAGTGGCACAAGTGATTAAGCACCATGCTTCTATCCAAAACGGGCATCTGAGTCTACCCAAAAGTCCCTCCAAAGAAAAGCCTGACAATCACAGCCATTGAAAACCCTGGGGAGGACAGTTCTACTCTGACACACATGGTATCAATGTGAGTTGGAATCGTCTTGATGGCAACTGATAATACTATGTTATGGTTATGTGCCAGGGAATTGGAACTGACTCACAGTTGACCATCCAGCAGGTTTTCACAGACAGTAAGTTGCATGGAAGGAGATGTTCATCTTTCTTTAAAAAATTACTGAACCTTAGCTGTTGTCATGTTTTAGTTTTAGATTCTTGTCATATGTTGTAAAATACCCAAAACCCTGATATTGGGAAGCTGGGAAGCTCAGCATCACCACCTTCTGGCCCACCACTGGCAACAAACTCAGATACAGATAACTTTGGTCCTAACCCTCGTAAGACAGCTGCACCTGTGGGTTCAAGCTGTCAGTGCTGCCCCTGCCTGGACCCCACTGTCTCCTGCAAAGCTAATGCATGATGTGCAGTGAGAATATGTTGACTCTAAAACCCTGTGCTAAAAAAAAAAAATCACAGAACTTGGACTTTAATCATAAAGATCATTTTACCAAAGCATACTTTTTAAAAGGCTGTGAAACATTATGCAACGTATGCATGATTTAATTATGACTTTAGAAAACCCTAGCACTAGTTTTTCACTACAGTAAAACGTGACAGAACATGAATCACAGGATAAAACTTGATGCTTAGAGTGGTTTTAGACATGGGTTAGTGGTGCTGGGCTGTCTACACAACAAGGCATGAGTTACCGCACCGCAATTCACACCCCAGAGTGCTTTATGACAATTATAAAACCTCTTTTGTTTGCTTTTAAATGATTAAAATGTTTGAGTACAATATATTCACTTAGGAAATGTATGTATGCAAAACATATGCATGTCTAATGACCATTTCTAAATTTTGGTTTGTTTGGGGTTTGTTTTTGTTTTCTTCACTTGGAACAAATTATTTGTGGTAAGACAGGAGTGTTAATAGTGAGTTATTTCTGTTTGCTTTTCAGTTACTAGAAATATTGTTAGTATAAGATTAAATGGGATCTTCAAGCCTAGTTAAGCATATATTTCCCACTGAGTTTGAAATAGACCAGCGCTGTTATTATTTGTCATCTCTTAAAATCCTCCAAAATACAGCATGAAAGACTTTGCTTGAATGTTGGATTCCAAAGATTCCAAGCTAAAGTACTTGCCCAAGAACTACCAGATTTTCTTCAAACTTGGAAATGTGGTTATTTTCAAGGAAATAAAAGAAATATACAAGAAGTGGAAGCACAAAGGAGGCTGGAAGAAGAACAGAGGGGAGGAAGGCTTGGGTCTGGATCTTCAAATACACAATTCTCAGATCTACTCTGGCAACTTCAAAGAGATACACCAAAAAGACAAACTTTTAGACATGAAGAGCCTTGGAGGGAGCAGAGCTGAAATATTTTCTCTTCAGCACATGACATGTACATTTATTGCATATACACAAATTATATGCTATGTTTTTCTAAGGAGCTTTGCTTTTGTGGTTGCAAAGAGAAAATGAATGTTAGGCCTCTGGAAATATAAAGCTGTCAGGTGATAGGAGAGTGTCCAGTTTAAATTTTCTTACACATTTGTTTTAAAAATAGAGGGTATGTTGTCGTCTTCTTCCCCTCCTTTTTTATCTGTAAACAGTGATGCTTTTGAAAATGAAGACACTTTAAGAATGCTAGATTCAAATTTACAAAATCCTTTCTGCACATGTATTTTGAGGCCAGAGAGAAGTATTCTCCTTTGAAATAAAACCAGTTGCCATCATGTCAACGTCAAATCCAGGCAACCCCAGGCCTGTCAGAGTTGAATTGTATACCATCAAGTTTTTAATGACTAATTTTGCTATAGCCAATAGCCAAGCCTTTCTTCCAAAGTAGCTGTGGAAGATTAGAAGTTCCAGCCTTTCAATTAGCAGCCAAGAGTGTTAACCATTTGGCTATGCAAGGTTCACTCAAAATCTTCCCTTCAAAAGATACAAACCTGGTGAGCTCTGGTGGCCTAGTGGCAAGAAGCTGCACTGCAACCTCAGAGGTGCACAGTTCAAATCCACCAAATGCTCTGCTGAAGAACGAGGAACAATCTCCTCCTGTACCAGTCAGATCTGACTTGACGGTACACACATAAGAGAAAAAATAAATAAATAAATAAAAAATAAAAGATACAAGCCTTAAGTCTGGGAAGTAGCTAGATTACTGTGTTACTCTGGGCTGACAGACTAGTTCTCTATGGCTGGCTTTGTAAACTAGTTATTAAACCTCACTGTCAGTTCCCCAGATTAACCTTTTATCTTTACTTCACCCATTTATTCCTTGGGAGAGGATTCCTCTAAATAGAAAACACAGGGAGCTGGGGGAAGAATGATGTAACTTTTTTTGCCCAGGGCACACAAAATACCAAAATCCTGCATCTCTTTTGCTTACTGATTACAGATAGACAATCACCTGAATTGATAAACACTTTGAACATGTTTTTTTATGATGGTCACTGTACTTCCTGGCAAAGCTAACATGGTCTGAGCCATACATGAAAGAATCAAGTTAGAACAGTTTGAACATTAATACTTCTACCTTGAAAATTTAATGAAGTCGTCACTCTCAGCAGGATTAAATCAAACCTTTGGGAAGAATAGTTACCAGATCAAAAGCTCAAAAAATTAATATTTACTTTGGTATTTTTAGGGAAGAAGTAAACCTTGTGATTTATTTATTAAACACTGATAAATAAATTGCATAAAAGGATCCTAATGGCTCTACATGGTAAAATTTTTACCCTAAATACAAGAACCCAGGTTCAGTTCTTGGCCAATACACTCCACGTACAACCATCTAGCAGTGGAGGCTTGTGTGTTGCTATGATGCTGAGCAGGTTTCTATGGTGCTTCTAAATGAAGGCAGACTAGGGAGAAAGAACTGGTGATTTAATTCTAGAAATCAGCCACTGAAAACCCTTGGATCATGGATGCCTGATCTACAGTGAACTGATGATGAGAATGTTTCAAAACTAGGCAACAATTCCCTGCCCAGGACCGGGCTGCAATGGGTTAGAGGCTGACTCCATAGTAGTTCACAACAACACAGAAGTCACAAATATGAACAGTATATTTAAACAAAGGTAACTAGTTTCTTATTAAAAGACTTTTCACTTAAAAAAAAAATCTCACTGCACTTAATCTTTAACTGCCCTGCCTGATTCTCTGCAGATACAAGGCAGATCCAGCCGTCCCCACCGTGGTCCTATGATCAGTCTTACCAGTACCTGGGATCAATCGCCTCTCCTTCTGTGCACCCAGCAACACCCATCTCACCAGGACGGGCCAGCGGCATGACAACACTCTCTGCTGAGCTTTCCAGTCGACTCTCAAGTAAGCTGCTCGAAGACATACTCTCTGGGGGTTACTTCTCCCTTCCCACCTTCCTCCTCATCACCAAACAGCTTCAAACCCTCATACGATGCAGGTTATCATGGCCCACTAGGAACCCAATGCCACTTTCTGTGGTCCACTGGAGCTGCTTTACTTGAGTTGAATCCCCTCTACTGCTTATGACCAGGATTAAGTTGCTTTATCTAAGACATTCTCAGTTTCCCCATCTGGAAAATTAGGAGCTAAAGATACGTCCAAGGAGTGAAGATTAAATGGAGTAATATAAGGAGAATATTTACCACAATGCTTGGTGTACTATAATGTCTATTAGCTATTATCATTATTACTCCAAACTGTGTCTCTTTTCCAAGTGCAAACTCCTGAAAAGAGATCTTGAAAGGTCTAGCTCAGTTGTTCAATCCAGGTAATGCAATGGGCACTGGTCACTAGAAGGCCTGGGATCATCCACCTCTGATCGGATCACCTGAGGCTGGAGGGGGTAGTAGGTTATGTGATCTGCCCATGGCTGCCCATTTGCCTGGTTTCTGAAGGATGAATATAAAGGTATCCTAAACTGTCTAGAGACTCATTCATCCAGGGCTCTCAAGTTTTAATGGAATGTACCTCCACAGGTACTAGGACCTTAAAAAGAGAAGCTCTGGTGAGTTCTGGTGGCCTAGTGGCAAGAAGCTACACTGCAATCCCAGAGGTGTGCGGTTCAAATCCACCAGATACTTTGCTGGAGAAGGAGGAACAATCTCCTCCTGTACCAGTCAAATCTGATTTGACGGTACACACACACACACAAAATAATAAAAATAAAATAAAAATATTTAAAAAATAAAAAAAGAGAGACGCTCTAAGGAGCAGGAATGATGACAGAGAGAGAAAACACACTCTATAGCTGAGCTAGAAAGGAAGGTGCAAGAGACACAGGGAGGAGATGGCAAAGCATTTTCAAGGAACATAGTTTAGAGGAGAAAACTGCCTATCCTTCCTTACTCTAGGTCCCATGTCCATGCACTGATTTTCCCCACATTGCAGAAGTAGAGGCAGAAGCAGCTTGGAGGCGCCAATACCCTGGAAATCTTATATCCTCTGGGGTTGCTTGTATTTGGCAGGACAAGATGGCAGCTGAAGGGTTAACAGGATAAAAGGACAATTCATTGCAGCAGTGTCCTCTAGAACTCACTGTGCTAAGTGACTTCTGGACACCGGTGGGACCACCTGGCCCATGGGGGTTGGGGGGTGGCGAGTTGCCACAGGTCACATGATGTGCACACACATGGGGATGTGTGTAGAAGGAGAAGCAAATGCACTCCAAGTGAGACATTTCCAACTCCTCAGAAGTGAGCTGTTCATACCCAGGTGAGAGGAACGCAGTGAAAGCTCAGGTGTCATGCTTGGCACAGTGGTTGCTAATACAAGCTCATTAAATATTAGTCATTTAACTTATGAGCCCTTTGGGCTTGGCACTCACCTTTGCTTGTGAGCAAGGAAATCGGAATTACAGAGAAAAAATACCTTTGTTGAAAGCAAAAAGAGAGAAACTTATAGTTTGGGGCTTTGATGTTGGAGCTGGGCCAAAGTGTGAAAACACTTGGAGCACTTCAGTACCTCGATGCCTGCAAATACACTTGTCTGTATAGTGTGTGTGTGGGGGGGGGGGAGGGTGGTTGTCCTGGTCCTTCCACTTTTGGGAGCAGAGGATAGCAGTTCAAGGAGGCAAAGAAATCGGGCCTGCCATTTTAAATGCTGTGTTTGCCAGATAATTTGACTACTTGAAATTTCACCCACTGCCTTAGATTCTTCTCAGCATTTCACAGGCACCATAAGATAGCGTCTCTTAACAGCAGCACTGCAAATGTTTGTGGTGAAAGAAATTGTTTCTGTGGAGTCACAGGGTGTTCTGTATCACCCCTGGCCTCTAGATGCCAGTAACATACAACCACATCACCACCATCCCTCACCACCACCTCCACACACAGACCGTGACAATCAAAAATGTCTCCAGGTATTGCTAAAAGTCCCTGTGAGGGACAAAAGCACCCCTAAGTTGAGAACCTTCCCATAAAGTATTTTTTACCATACTGAAACAGGAAATCTAACTGAGTGGCGAGTTTTTCGCATTCTTTTCTGGCATGAATACCACTATTATCATAATTCCTGCTGGGCTAAAGTGTTGAGGGAGTAGTGTCAGGATGGTGACTGCTGTTCAGTTTGTTGTTTCTAGAAGCTTCAGGAACAGAGTTTGATTCCAAGGGCAACTGTCAGCTTCTTATGCCTCTCTGTGGCACTGCTCTGCCTCCTGGGTATGGGCTCCTTCTGACACCAAGACAGTTATTCCCTTGGAAATTTCCTTGCTGTAGGTCTGTGCCTTAGTGTTCCTTACATAAGACTTGGCTTGGTCTCCACCCAACATAGACACATTACAGTCCAAGAATCCTAGGGGCCAGCTGTTCCAGCTAACCAGAGCTCAGATAGAAAAATGGCCTCCACCCCCTCGCTTTTTTTATATATATATCCATGACTGTGGGGTTTTTGGGGAAGTCAAACTTACTCATTGGCCTTTGAATCGAAACTGATTCATAGCTTATCCTCCACTGGTGTCCAAGGCTGTAAATCACATAAAAGGATACTGCTCATGTTTTCTACTGAGGAGCTGTTAAAAGATTTGAACCTCCAAAGATCACAGCCTTTGGCTCAGCAGCACAACTCTCACCATACAGACTTTGCCACCAGGCTGCTGGGAAGTAACACGCAGGATACAATTCTTTAATCAGTAACCTCCCTCTTAGGTGTGCTGGCAGGCAGGTCTCTCTCTGGCCTGCAGCCTTGAGGCTCTGGGCCACTATTACAAAGTCATCTGTTTCTGACAATTATGTGTGCCACTCCCCCACTCCGCCAGTAAGGCAAGGTGAAGGCTCTGGGCTCTGGGCTCAGGCTCTGTGGGGCAGCAGTTCCTCCTTTGCTCTGTCTCACATCAATCTCTGGTTCTCTGCCACTTCTGCTACTGCACCTCTCCCTGCATCTAAGCCTCTGTCTTGCTCTTCTCATACTGGAATCAAGGGCCCCAAGAAATACACTGCACCCATTGCTTCTTTTCTTTTGATGGTGGGAGAGACTTGTTTTCTGCCTCTGAACCTGCTCAGTTTAAGTCAAGTAGCCTAGCAAAACTAGCTAGTTCCCTCATTAAAGGTCTGCATGCCTTATTTGCATGTTCTCAACCCAAAGGCTGGTATTTGGTTACCTAACTAGCAAGCTATACAATCACCTTGGTGGGGCACAAACATCCCACATTTACATAAAACTGACTCACTGCCAACAAATGATAATGATGTCTCAACCACAAAGAAGCTCTGGTAGCATAACCTGTAGCGATTGTGCTACTAACCTAAAGGCTGTAAGACTCTGAAAGTTCAAATCCACCAGTTGCTGGGAAACTAAAAAAAAAAATTAAAAAATGGGCACTCTTCTCCCATTATAATGTATAGTATTGGAAACACAACAGATGCTCACTAAGAGCTGGACCTGACTCAACCGCAATGAGTTTGTGTTTCGACTCAGCCTTGCAGTAAAAGCCGAAACCATACTGACTAATCCGCTATACCACAGATCACCCCTCATCCTTCCAGGATGGATTAACTTTCTCTTTACAACTATTTTATAAGTATTTATAGGTCAATGAATACTTTATGGTTTAAAAATCAGAAAAAGTGTGCATCAGGGCTGTATCCTTTCTCCAGACTTGTTCAATCTATATACTAAGCAAACCACTCAAGACGTTGGACTCTATGAAGAGGAATGTGGCATTGGGACTGGAGGAAGACTCATCAACAACCTGCAGATGACATAACTTTGCTTCAAGAAAATGAAGAAAATTTGAAACACTTAAAGCAGAGGATCAAAGGCTATTAGCCTTGAGTTACACTGTAACATCAAGAAAACAAGTAAAAACTTAACAAAGTTCCAACAGGTAATACGATAGATGGAGAAAGGATTGAAATTATTAACAATTTTATTTTACTTGGATCCACAATCAACACTCATGGTAGCAGCAGTCAAGGGTATTTTCGCTTGCTTCCTGGACAATGAATAAGGAAGGTCAAAGGAAAACTGATGTCTTTAAATTGGGTCGATGCACTGCCAAAAAAAACGCAACAAAACAACAACAACAAAAACAAACACACATAAAAGCAAAAAAAAACCAAAAAACAAACACACAAATCTGCTTTGGAGGAAGTACAACTAGAATGTTCCTTAGAGTATCCCTTATCTTAAATGCTGAAACTTTATCTCACATACTTGAGCACTTTATCAGGACTAATTAGTCCTTGGGAAAAGACATCATTCCGGGAAAGAGGATCAGCAAAAGAGAGGTAATCTTCAACAGGGCAGACTGAAACAATGACTGATAACAAGTCCAGAGACTGCCCATCTTTCTGCCTCTGAGCAACTGGCTGATTCAAAATACCTGCTTTTGGGCTGGCAGCATAACATCATATCCACTAGGCCACCAGAGTTCTCTATTTCTAATTAAGTATATATATGCTAGTAGTATCAGATGCACCTTAGTCTCCAAAGAGACACCACTGCTCTTCAGCACTTTGGAGAGGTCCCTAACAGTAGACTTTCCCATTACAATGCTCCTTTTAATTTCCTGGCTGCTGGTGCCAAGACTGTTGACTATGGAGCCAAGCAAACTAAAGCTGTGTACAATCTCAACTTCTTCACCATCCATCCTGATGCTGCCAATTGGTCCAGTGGTGAGAATCTTGGTCTTCTTGACATTGAGCCTCAATCCATATTGTAGGCTGCAGTCCTTGACCCTCTGCAGCAGGCACTTCAGGTCCTCTTCAGTTTCAGCAAGCAGGGTTGTGTCATCCGCATAATGCAGATTGTTGATAAATCGTCCACCTATCTTGACCCCACATTTCTCCTCATAGAGCCCAGCCTCCCGGATAATCTGTTCTGCATATAGGTTGAAAAGGTATGGAAAT